GGGAGAGAGAGAGAGGGAGGGAGAGAGAGAGAGAGAGAGAGAGATGTTATTGCTCCTGCGGATGAGCCACACAGACACACACACACACACACACACACACACGCACACACACAAACACACACACGCGCACACACACACACACACACACACCATCACAGAGAGAGAGAGAGAGGGGGGGKGGGGTGGGGGGAGAGGGGTATGGCTCCGGTGGATGCTAGACTGCCGGAATTGCAGAGAGGATCAGTCAGCAAGGATTCTTTTTCCATCTCGGTGCTTGTCTGCGCAATTATATTATCCATGACGGCCAGGCAAGCTGGCCCGGGAAATTGACAACTCTAGTTTTTTATTCATTACCTCGATGCACTGTGTGTTGTGGATGTTGTGCTTATCAGGTGCAAGTTGAAATGGTACAGAAGTACTGCCTTCGACTCCTCGGTTTTGCATTCGACCTGCCATCACTTCTTGTCCTCAGAGTAAGTAGGAACTGAACTGTATTGTTCCTCTCCTCCACAGCAAACACTTGGCTGGCAGTAGAGGGCACCTCCCTCGCCTCCCCCCTCACCTCCTCCCCCCTCACCTCCTCCTCCCTCACCTCCTCCTCCCTCTCCTCCACCCCCCTCTCCACCACCCAAGAAGACCTCTCCACCTCCTTCTTCAGCTGGAATAGCTGGTATGCCCACTCCTCCGTGTCCATGCCCTCCTGCCCCTCCTTGTCCGGAGGAGAACGGGTATCTGAAAGGCGATCCTCATTTCATAGGAAAACACGGAGAGCGGTTCGATTTTCATGGCAAGCCTGACCGTGACTACTGCCTCATATCTGATAAAAAGCTTCATATCAATATGCATGTCTTTGCGGGCAAGCGACAGGGAAACACTGTATGTACTATTGCCTTCTTTTCATTCCTCCCTTCCTTCCTTCGTCTTTTCTTTACGGAAAACATTATATGGTAAGCTTCAAATTTGAGAGAACCATTGACGGCCCTCTGCAAATTGAAGGCTGTATCCCCTATAGTGCCTCCTCGCAACCGTTGGCAGCTGGCGCCAACTTCCCAAAGGCTCGGAGTTAGCCACACACAAGCGTTCACTCTCTTCATGCGCAAGAAACAAGGAACCCAAATGTGTGTGGAAATCAGGCTAGCATAATGGATCGACTAACAATTGTGTAAGATTAGGAACCAGATGTGACAGCTTTTGCAATTTCTTTATTGATAGGCTGTTGGAGACCGCAGCAGAGACCAAAGGACGCAACCATAGCAGTTATCATGTCCAGGCGACGGAAATAGCATCAATAAGGCGATTACCCTTTTTGTGTTTCATTTCGTCTTGAAGTCGAACTGATCAATCTCTTGCAACCAGTTTGACAGCATAGGCGACAACCAAGGCGGAGTCTGGATCCACTGTGACGTCTGGTGATCAGAATAGACTTTGGACTGGCGACCAAGAAGAAAAAGCTTCCAATAAAGCAATACTGCCCATAGTGCAAATAGTTCACCCTCATATGCAGAGACAGCCAGCCAGCCAATCAGAGGGCAAGCTTCAACTCATATACTCCATTGGGCAAGGTTGTGCATGGCAGAAAAACTGTCACGAATTTGCAATAATAAGAAGCCATTCCAAGAAAAGAATGCAGTTCACGCACATTAGTAGGTTGCAGCCAAGCATTGATGGCCTCTACCTTTGCTGCTTCCGTCTGAAGCCGTGCAGCAAAAATCTGGTGCCCAAGGATGAGATCCGACTTCTCGCAACTCGCTTTCACCATGCATGCAAACAGATGATGAACATGAACGGGCCCAACACACTCACACAAAACTTAGAGATAAGATCGTGGCCAGGAACACAGATCAGATTCAAACTTGTCTTGAATGGCTATGGCGCCCAGCGCCAGAAAAAGTCTCACCCGATCAACTGTATCCACCAGCAACTTGTTCGCACAAACACACACACACACACACACACACACACACACTCTCACACTAACTAGGATCACCCTGAATGTCCCACACGCGTACTCACACGGCACACAGCTCCTATCACTAACCTACGTGGCAGCTATGGCTGCCGTCTCTCTCCTACTAACTCGCGGCTATGGCCGCTTCTTCCTCCTCTCAGCCCTCTTCTTCCTCGGGCACCTGGAGACCTCCGATGCACAAGACGCTCCGACATCGCTTCTGCATGGCTCACAGGCAGAATGAATGAATGACTTGACACTGCCTCTTTATTTGTACTTCGGATCGTTGGTGGTCTGGCCTATTGACCTGGGCGCGGGATGTACACAGTCCCGCATGGTACTTGCTGACTAGACTAGGTTAGACCGGGACTGGGTACCGCGGACTAGACGAAGTAGGACTGGGACTGCCCTTTGCTGACTGTAATAGGACTGCCCCTCTCTGACTCAGCTACGGACTGACTCCTACGATCTACAAAGAGCCAGCTTAGACTAGTCTAGAAGGTCCTAGAATTGACCTTTTGGAACTGTAGCAGCTATGACCAAGACTGCCTCTACGACTGCTAAAATTGAAGCCTATGGGTCGAGTCCACGCGACCAAGCTATATACAACAGTCAAATCATACGACTTTCAAGGGTAGGTTGCGGGTTCAAACACACAGGGTCAACGGGTACTGTACACGACAATGGTAGGTCTAGGGATCGAGCCCTGGGATCTGCATCTGTCACCGGTTTAGGTGAAAACCGTTTCACTCCCGCCGTCCTAAATTCGAGGTCCTCTGAGAATGTCTTAGCGCAAGGCAGGACCTTTATCTTTTCGTGCCCTATCATAGGCATGGACTATGTCGGGAGCGGTCTCTAAAGGCTCGGTTCTTGTGAACCATCGGTCGTCCTCGGGTTCCTGATAAGCGAACCTGACCTTATAGTGTTTCTGTGGACGGCCTCTACCTCCGGTTCTGAACACATCCTCTTCCACTATGTGGTCTATGTCGTATGTGCCATCCATATCCGGCTGAATCATCGATCGACATGATGGAAACTACTGACTGGTGACACAAGGCAGTAAATTGGACGCATGGAAGACTGTGTACGTGTGGAGGTGTGGCCACGGTCCTCTATGTGGGTAACAACTTTTCTGAGATGTTTTCTTCTAGGGCGAACTGCTTTGACTTGACCCAGACTAAATCACCTACCTGGAACTGTGATGGTCGATGATGCTTGTTAGCTTGTTCTATCATCCTGTGTTGAGCCTTTCTAAGATTGTCGGCCACTCGAGCAATTTCCTTCTCATGCTGCAATGCAAACTCTCTAGTTCTGGGTGGTAGTCTCTGTACTTGGTCTGGATTTAGTCCTTCAAACGGCCTACCTGGTCCAAAGGACTTGTGCAGCTCATTAGGAGTTCGGCAAGTAGCTAGATGGACGTTGTTATTATAGGCGCTAGCTACTTTGGGAAGCATCTCATCCCAGTTAGTCTAGTCGAGTCTAATATACATCTTGAGTATCTGCTGCATGATCTTATTCATCTGTTCAGTCTGACCGTTAGTCTTTGGATGACAACCATATGATATTAACAACTTAGAGCCATAGACTCTCATCAGTTCCCGCCAATTATGACTGGTAAACCGTGTATCTCTATCACTAATATAGATAGCGGAATACCATGCTCACTTAACCAGGAATCGAAAAACTTTTCTATAACTCTGCACGTGCCTCTGAGGACAAAGGAACAAAAATTGCATACTTGCTAAGACGATCTACGACAACCATGACTTGGCTCTTGCCATGCCTACTCCTAACCCCGACATCCGTAAAATCAATGGACACAGACTCTCCGGGTCCTGATGGAATAGGCAAGGGTCTGAGAAGGCCTAATGGGGCTCACGTGGTAGTTTTGTTGCGCTAACACACCTTACAACTGCGTACATATTCTATTCAGTCAACTTTCATGCGAGGCCACGTATAGGAACGTACGAGGTTGGCTAAAGTCTTTTGCCAACCGAAGTGTCCCTCTGTATCGTGGCATTCCCGTAAGATCAGACTCCGTATCTCTTCACTGTTGGGGATGCACAATCTTTCTACAATGTCGGCCTTCTCAAACAATAACCCGTGCGTGGTGCGGTAATTAGGTTCACTATCTGCGGCTTCCTTAACTTTCCTTAGGAGGTCACTATAGATAGGGCCCGGAGCATATGCGTCTCTCACTTTTTGTTGCAGATCAATCCCTATGTCTAAGTAGTTAACTATAGCTCCAAAATATTCAACTCTCCTACTCAGAGCATCCGCTGCCACGTTGTACTTTCCTTTAACATGTTTAAGCTCAAAGTCAAACTGGTCAATCTCAGTAGCCCACCTAGTAAGCTTAGGTGTCATCATGGCTTGCGTCTTTAACCACCTCAATGTCTCGTGGTCTGAATAGACTTTGAAGTGCCTCCCAAGCAAGTGATGTCTCCAGTGATCTGGTGCTTGCCCGAGAGCGTAGAGTTCTCTCTTATAAGTTGAGGCTGCTACCTTCTCTGAAGGCAGCCTAGCAGACATGAGCTCTACGGGTCTGTACCCATTGCTGTCATCTTGCTGTAACACAACACCAATACCATATTGACTCGCGTCTGCAGTGACGACAAAGGGTAAGGATGGATCAACTACCTTGAGGAGTGGATACTTTACTAGGGCCCGTTTCAACTTTCTGAGGGCCGAGGGGCAATCTTGGTCCCACTTCTAAATTGCTTCTTTCTTTAGTAGTCTGCAAAGGGGAGCAGCGATAACGAAAAAGTTTCTAACGAACTTTCTATAATAATTGGCCAATGCTAAAAATGATCGCAACTTTGTCAGCGTACGAGGAGTTGGCCAGTCCCTAATCGCTGCAATCTTACTGTCCTCAGGTTTTATACCATCTCCATCTAATATGTGGCCCAAGTACAAGATTTCGGTCTTGGCCCGCTCACATTTCTTCGCATTGAACTTGAAATTTGCCTCGCTTAACTTCTCCAAGATGTGCCTCAGATGACCCTCATCCTCCTGGAGGGTCTTACTAAAGACTAAAACATCATCTAAGTACACTACCACAAACTTATCTAACCACGGTCTGAACAGATCCTTCATACAACGCTGAAAAGTGGTTGGGGCATGTCCAAAGGGCATCACTATGAACTCGTAATGCCCATACCTAGTTTTGATCGTCGTCTTGTATTGATCGTTAGGGTGGACTTCAATCTGATGATACCCTGACTTTAAGTATATCTTTGTAAAGTACTTACAACCCTGCACCTGATCTAACATATCATCTATACGAGGCAGTGGTTCTACATTCTTGACTGTAATAGCGTTCAGACAGGTGCTCCAAATGGTGACGAACTAGGCCTAATCCAACCCTTCTCGAGGAGCTCGTCCAACTGCTTGCACAACTCCTCTAACTCTCTAGGAGACATTCTGTAGACTACTCCTTTGGGAGTTCTACTGCTAGGTTCTATCTCAATGCGATGCTGGATTGGTCGCGGTACTACTCCTGAAGGAGCCTCTGACAAATCTACGTAGTCTTCTAGCAACTTGGCAATAGTGGGGTTGACTGGTTTGTCTTCTTTAGGCTCAGAGGCTGGCCTAACATAGGCTACGAAGACCTGCTCTTCTAACTGCTTTCTCCTCTATCCATTCCTAAGACCATATCGAATGGGAGGTCATCTTCGAGTTAGGGAATGGAGAACTCTCTCTACCTTCATATCTGCTTCTAGGCAAAAATATGCCTGGACTTCCTCGATGTAATCCTCGATCCGCGTTGTGTGGTTGTCGGCGAAGATACCGACTACAGGTTCTTCTAGCTTCTAGACCTTCAGGCCAAGCTTCAACTTCTTCAGCGCTTTACAACTAATATAACTATGTGTGGCCCCACTGTCTATAAGG